ACAGGCAGCATATCTCACAAATAAACTTATGAATAAGGCTCTGTGACACTCTGCCCAGGGCTTCTGGAGTGATCATCTGTTGCTGAGCCAGAATAAAAGTGACACGTTTGAGAAGAAGAGAATATTTGGAGGCCACAGGCACTCCAGGGCAGGGTTCAGTCTGTTCTCAGAATGCAGCTGACCTCAAGGCCGTATTGTGACTTATTATGTAATTATTAGCTAAAAACTGGGGTTACTACAATAAATAATACTCTTAATTGCATTATTGAAAGAACACAAGTACTTTATAGCATACTGACAACACTAAGTTTGCATTTTTACCACCCTGAGAAAACTAGTCATGCACGTCGTGCAGATATTAGATCAACATTTGACTTGATGTAAAATTTTGACATCCTCAAAATGTTTCATTAAACTTGAGTCATATTTTATCTTTTATTTGACTTTTGTTTTACATAATAAATGCTTCTTTAATGCATTTTCTGACATCTTGTTACTAAATCAGGATCATCCTACAACAACGTGACAAAACATTCTGTACACGTTTAGGATTCAGCCCTTGTGTTATAGGACTGAATCACTATATTTTATATTGTTAGGACAGATCAGATTTGGGGTTTTGAACATTTATAATTTAAGAACAAACTGTCCCAGAATTTAAAAACTTGCTTCTCACACTGGAAGCTTTTTTAACAACCAATCTGTCACATTTAACATTTCTAATAGTTATCTTTTCTGAAAACATAGCCAGACTGTTTTACCAGGGTTTTCAGGAGCAACAGTTAAAGATGTAATATTATTTTAGCTAAAACCAGCTGCCATCTAATGCTTTAGTTTTACTTATACACGGGAGGGCAAAAATATTTAATCAGCCTCCAACTCTGCAAGTTCACCCACTTAAAAAAATGAGAGCCCTGTAATTTTGCACCATTGGCTCACACAAAATGAGAAAAACTCAAAAATCCACTAAATCTCCTTGTCTGATTTTTAAAGAATCTATTTCCACATTTTGGTGGAAAATAACTATTTGGCGAATAACAAAAGTCCATCTCAATACTTTGTTACATACCCTTTGTTGGGACTGACAGAGGTCCAACTTCTTTTGTAAGTCTTCGCTGTTGCTGGTATTTTGGCCCATTCCTCCATGCAGATCTCCTCTAGAGCAGTGATGTTTTTGAAGCTGTTGCTAGGCAACAGAGACTTAAACTTCCTCCACATATTTTCTATGGAGTTGAGATCTGGAGACTAGCTAGGCCACTCCAGGACCTGAAATGTTTCTTACGAAGCCACTCCTTCGTTACCCAGATGGTGTGTGTGTGATGACTGTCATGCCGAAAGACCCAGCCACGTTTCATCTTGCTGATGGAAGGAGGTTGTCACTCAAAATCTGACGGTGCATGGCCACATTTGTTCTTTACTTGGATCAGTCGTCCTGGTGCCTTTGCAGTAAAACAGCCCTAAAACATGATGTTTCCACCCCCATGCTTTATAGTAAGTGTGGTGTTTTTGGGATGCAACTCAGCATTCTTTCTCCTCAAAACATGATGAGTAGAGTTTTACCAAAAAGTTCTGTTAGTTATATGACATTCTCCCAATCCTCTTCTGGATTATCCAAATGCTCTAGCAAACCTCAAATGAGTCTGCACATGTCCTGACTTAAGCAGGGGGACACGTCTGGCACTGCAGGATGAGTCCCTGCGGTGTAGTATTACTTTGTAACTTTGGAGATCGGAAAAGAAGAAGAATTTGTAATAGTGGAGGTGTTTACAAATTAGGGGAAGGTTATTATAATAAATTATTATAATCCATGCAAAAGATTAGAAGTTGAGGGAACAAGGTCAAGAGTTGGGATTAATGGCAGACACTTAATTGTGTGCGGTGATTTTAATGCACATAGTACTGTGTGGGGGGCTAGGAAAACTGATTTAAATGGGGAAATAATGGAACAAATTATGGAGGAGGCGAATCTGGTATGCATTAATGATGGGAGAGGAACTCGATTTGATGTATATTCAGGTAAAATGTCAGCATTAGACATAACTTTAGTATCCAGTGAGTTGGCAGGAATAAGTGAATGGGACATACTAGAAGATACAATAGGAAGTGATCATTGTTTAATTCTAACACAACTTTTCGAGACTAGAGGGATGATGGCGGAAGGAAGGGAAGGGAGTTGGATTTTTAAAAGGGCTAAATGGGATAAGTTTAGAACTGATTGTGAAAAATGGAGGTCAAAAGTAGTGATGTCAGATAAAGCTGTGGAAATGGAAGAAGTATTTAGAAGTGTGATAATTGAGGCTGCAGAGTTAGCGATACCAAAAACTAAAGGAAACACAAGGGAGAGGAAGAAAGTACCATGGTGGTCTGAAGTCTGTGAGAAAGCAATTAAAGCAAGAAATAAAAGCCTAAGGATGCTACGGAAAACACATTATATGGAAAATTTACTGAAATATAAAAAGTTGCAAGCAGAGGTGAGAAGAGTTGTTAAAAAAGCAAAAAGAGAAAGTTGGAGAAATTTTGTGGAAAAATGGGGAGAACTACGCCGATAGGGAATGACGAGAAAAATGAAAGGAATAAGGAAAGAATGGAGTTATCCAGTGTTAAAAGTAGGAGATGAGTTAGCTGTAACTAATGAGGAAAAAGTAGAAGTACTTGTTAAAACATTTGTTACACTCCATAGTACTGGTAATTAGTCAGAAGAAGGAAGAGAAAGGAGAGAAGTAACTAGAAAAAAATATGAAATACAAGGGGGAGGAGGTGGGGAAGGTAATATTAAAAGTACTATGGATATGCCTTTTTCTTTGTTTGAGTTAGAACGTGCATTAGCTACAACTGGTATGACTAGTCCAGGAGAAGATCAAATATGCTATATAATGTTAAAACAACTAGGGAAGCAAATGAAATTGAAATTACTGGAGATTTATAATATGATATGGGAAACAGGAACATTGCCAAAAAATTGGAAAGAAGCAGTTATTGTACCAATAATTAAAGTAGGAAAAGAATCAAGTAGTCCAGATAGTTATAGACCCGTTGCACTGACATGTCATATAGGAAAACTAATGGAAAGGATGGTAGTAGATAGATTAACAGATTATTTAGAAATAAATAAAAAGATATCACAGTATCAAAGTGGGTTTAGGAAAGGGAGAGGCACGATGGATGCAATTGTTTATTTAGAAACGGAAATTAGGAAAGCATTAATTAATAAAGAGAGATTAGTAGTAGTCTTTTTGATGTAGAAAAAGC